TATCACAGTGGCCAAGGGCCAACCCGGGAGCACTGGGCCCCATTTCCTACATCACACTTGGTGAAAAGCATCTTAGTATCACTGTGAACCTGGACCAGAAAATCAGGGCAATCATTTTGACACACTTGGACCACATCAGTGGCTTCACAGGTAGAATAAAGTGTTTGAATGGCCTACTTCCTTAATGTGGAGAAATACTACACTGTTTAACAAAGATGGGATGGAGGTCTCACAGCCAGAGGCCAACTGTCACATGTGTACAGAAGCCAATTCCCAAAGACCAGGAGCCCTAATGTAAACAACCTGCATCTTTAGTAAAACAGAATGTTTCAGTTTCTGTATTTAGCTTTCATGAAAGAGGCAGTACAGAGGAAAGCAAGCTATGATTAAAAATTCAGTGAAAAAGGTAAAAATACAACTTTCAGGGTACATCTTGAGGCCTATAAACATTAAATTATCTCTCTCTTCTGTTGATCCAAATGAGGAAAACCTATGTTTACATTAATGACTGAACCACTGCCATCCTGGAGTTCAGCAGGAAAAAAGATTTTTTCATGGTACTTTAGAGTGCTTAATAACTTTCAAGGTGTGAAATGACAACTTGCCACCTACCTGCACCCAGGTAGCCGAGGGGGTCCTAGTCTCCTCCCTCCACACCCATGGGCGTACAACACACACCCCTGAAACCTAGACTGTCACTAAGATCCAGACACTCCCTGCGTGTCTGATGTGGTGGCATCTACTTTCATAAGTTCAGCAGCATGAAAGTCAAAGGTCCTAAGAACAAAAGGGCAAAAGAGCAGAGTGCTGTATCGGAAAAGGGGCTGGCCTGTTCTCACCCTGGCCCAGCTTTGTGGGCTTGTATATGAGCTCTACTGGAGAAGAAACAAATGCTGTTAAGAATTATTTAACAGATTTGAGGAGCCATTTTCACAAATATCTGTGAGCAAAAATGCTTTGTGAGCAAAAATGGTGAAAAGAGAAGCCCTGTCCCACCTGCCTGCCCACACAGCAGGGCCGGGCCCTGAGGGCACAGGGGAGGCAGTGCACTTGGCACTCTCAGCCGGGCGCTGTCAGGAGGGGTGTGGGACAGCACAGTACAGGGACAGAGCGGAGGCAGCACCAGCCAGAGGGGCCGCAGGGCTGACAAGACCACACAGCCGCTGCATTGGCAGTGGGGACGGGGACAGACTTGCTCATGAACACCTGGAAGCCCTTCTCCTTGGGGCCCCGCAGACGTGATGGCCAGTGCTTTCCAGAGGGCGGAAGCTTTAGATGGGAGACGAGAGTAATGGCCAGGGAAACCCCCGAGGCTGCCGACTGAACTCCTCTGTTGCCGCATACAGGCAAGGCCCAGGGAAATTCAGGTTACGCAGGATTTACTGTATCCTTATTTCTATGATCAAAATAAACTGTTGCTGTGCTTTCATATGCTGTAGGAACTCAATGACTACAGCTCAAACCAAGCATATTTCATGATTTAAGTTAATATACATAGATTTCTACTCTTTGTTTGAAGTATTTAAAAAATGGAACATGATCAAACCTAATAGAGCTATTTATCAATACTACCAGTGGGTAGCTTGAAATTATATTAAAGAGTTATTGGGAATGTGCAACGTTGCAAACACATGCTTCAGTAGAAACTAAGAATTTTCTTCTGTGTAAATAAAAGAGAGACTCCCTTTGGGTTGAAGAAGCAGTTCTATAACATGGAAATAGGGGATTCAGTTCAGATGAATAAGCCCCCTTGTATTCAAAGCAGTTTTTCTACTCTGCCTTTCTAATGGAGGATTATCCCAGAGAGAAGAGTTGGGAAACTATACACTGACCTCTGCCTTCCCATCATTTACAGGTAAAATTAGGAATGGAATGAATTGGTCAGAAGCTCCCCAAATTTACAAAATCAAACTGGAGTGACTGCCAATAAATCACTTAGGAATTTAGTATAGGTACTTGCCATGCAACTATCTTTTCATTTATACTTTACTGATTTTGTTTGGGGATTTTACTTAAATTTGAAAAGCAGTAAAGGTAATTAGAAGCCAATAAATATCTCGTTTTAGAGGTCCAGATTACTCAAAGCCATCCCACAATACAGAAGGAAAATAATAAGTCTGTACTGTCTTCCCTTTGTTCATTATTTCCCAACTCTCTGCAACCCTGAGTCTATTTTCTATTTTCCTGGACATCCCTTATTAAAATAAGTCATCACCACTTCTGAAACAATTCAGTGACAACCAATCAATAACAAAGGACACATATGGCCTACTGCTATACTGTTATTAAATACACATAAAACAAAGCAGTGAAGTACAATGAGGTAAAAGCAAGGTGCTTCTATGAGATAATGATAACCTCAATAATACACCTACAGGGAAAGATCTACAAGGCAGCATTAGTACATTTAAAAAAGATCTTTTTTTAAAGACATTCTGGCCATATGTCTCCTATTCATCTTATGCTTTTTTTTCCCCTCTCCTCAAGACACCTAACCTCCCATGCAAGATGGAAACATTCCTAAAGCATATACACAGATTCTCTTCAAGCAAAACAGCCTCTATCTGAACACAACAGGCAATGAATTTCATAAACCTGACAATGGGCCAGCACTTCTGAAAAAACACCCTAAGCAGAATATTCAGAGATGGCATTCAGGGTTTTAAGCAATTAAATTTTGCCTCAACTGGACAGCGCCAAGAATATGGAGGTGACCTGCCACCTCACTCAGCATTTCCTGCCTGCATTTGGCCCATCAGATGCCACACTGTGGAGAGGGACAGTTTCTCCTTGGTTTCCTGCTCATTAAAACACTCTTTTTGCGTAACTTATTTCAACTTACTTTCTAATATTTTGCTAAATGAAAGAAACATATCAGTCACAAGTGGATTATCACTTTGAAATGTCAGTATTTAAGAGTGGGTTGCAGCAAAAACTGATGTATAGTTATTTATCACATAACAAATAACTTCATTAAAAGGAGTCACATAGTCTTCACTGCTCTATTGCCTTTTAGATCTACAAGTTTATCATGTACGTTCAAATGACTACAGAGGCAACAACAGAAAGGATAGATTATAAATCTATATGTCCCTTAGAATAAAGTATAAATGACTAGACAAATAAGGATTTTTTTCACTGTCCTTGCTTTTGGTTCAGATTCTAAATCAGAAAAGACATTGTTTTCATTAGAGTAAAATGTGTTTTCTAGAAAATTCCCCTCCCTAAAATTTGTGTAGTACTTAAGACATCATTTCAAGTTTTTTCACAGATATCACCACAGTTGACCCTTCATAAAACCTCAACAAGAGGCAGCGAATTCCAAAACCAGAATAGGCCAAGACAAATCAGCAGTTTACTCTCCCTCTGTGGCCCTAATTGGACTTGTTAATTACACCTTATCATTCTAGCCAACAGTGTTCAAAGCCTTGTTTTCATATGTTTTATCTCCTTATTGCTTTCTGCTGCAAATTTTAATAACTTCTTCACTCTATCTTCTAGTTCATTAATTCTTTCTTAATCTGTGCCTTAAATGCTATTTACTCCAAACACTCAGTTTCTCACTTTAATAATCACAGTTTTTATTTCTAGTTGTTCAAATCTGCCTGTCATTTTTGCTTCATTATTAAAATACATTTTTTTAACAGAAAATAACAAATATTGGTAAGGATGTAGAGAAATTGGAACCCATATACACTGTTGGTGGGCATGTAAAATGGTGTGGCTGTTAAGGAGAACAATATAAAATTCAAAATAGAATTAGCATATGATCCAGCAATACCACTTCTTGGTATATACGCAAAACAATTGAAAGCAAGGTCTTGAAGAGAGGTATTTGCTCACCCATGTTCAGAGCAGCATTATTCACAATAGCCAGAAAGGGGAAACAACCCAAGATGCCCATTGACAGATAAATGGATAAACAAAATGCCATATAAACAATAAAATACTGTTCAGTCTTAAAAAGGAAAGAAATTCTGATATATGCAATAACATGAAGACACTATGTTATGTGAAATAGGCACAAAAAGGCAAAGGTGTGATTCCACTTATAGGAAGCACCTACAGTGATAAAATTCATAGAGACAGGAAGTAGGGTCATCCAGGGCCTGGGAGTGCAGGGAAAATGGGGAATTCAGTGTGAACGGAGTGTCAGTTTTGTGAGGAGAAAACAGTGCTGAAGAGTAATAATGGTGGCAATAGCTGCACAACACCAATGTATTTAATACCATGGGACTGTACGGTTAAGATGGTAAATTTAATGTTGTGTGCATTTTACCGCAGTTAAAAATAATTTTTAAATGTGGGAGGGAAAATTAGCAGTTCAGACAACAAAGACCAGAAAGTAGAAGCTTCCTGTGTTGTCTACCATGTGCCTGACGTCTATGCATGCCCTCCCATTTCCTTTTCCCGTGGATTTTCCCAGGCAGTGCAGTAGGATTAGAAATAGAGAAAGTATTAAATTAAGGGCAACTATTACTATTATTATATTACCACAGTCATCCTCACAAAAGAAACAAAGCAACTCAGGCTCAGAAAGCCCAGGACCAAGTGGCCATGTCTAGCATTTATTCCATTATCTCCTTCAGAACCTGTGATAACCTGCCCTCGGGGCACCTTCCTGGTAATATGCTAGTCCTTGCTCACCCTGGAAACGGCTAGCCCTGACATGGACATGTAAATATTTCAATCGTGAGCTGGTCTCTTCACCTTCACCTAGGTCTCAAAAGAACTTTTAACTAACGCAATTCCAGAGGAGAGTATTGAACAGGACAAGGGCCACTTTATAAGCAGTCAACAGGGGATGAGAGTTAACTTGGTAGAGGTCACTGCATGGCCAGCTCCCACCATGTGGGTGAAATCTGACCTGGTGCCTCGGAGTTGGAATGCTCTGAACCTCCTGAGCAGGGCCAGGCTTCCAGGTACACTGGAAAACACTGTGGCTTTTCATGCCATCAAACAATCACTACTTAAGCATTTAACATTTAAATATAATCAAGTTTGTACCCTCGTCGGAGGCCAAGTCTGCTTTTTGGCAATAAAAAAGGCTTTAGCAAGTTGCTCTGACAGATTTCATTTAGGTCTTGCTAATGCATCCTGTCATATCAGAAGAGGCTTGCTGGGGAGCTAACGTAATCCTTTTAGGACAGAAAACTAATGTTCTATCCAGATAACGCAGGCTATTTCTTTATGATTGGATTTGTTCTTGAAAATGCCTTAAGATTAGTTACTGCTGACCTGATCTAAAACCCTTGAAAGTCCAAAAACTCTTTTTAAACTAAAAAAATTAATAGCTGATGCTCACCCATAAAGATAACTCTGTAAGGCCTCCACCATTATGCCACCAACCACTTCTGGTTTTCTTGCTTTTCTCCTTCACTCCCTTTTGCTACACCTATACTTCGTCATTCCTTAAACCAGTGGTTCTCAAACTTAGCCGCGCGTCAGCATCCTCTGGAGATGAATTCAGCAGTCAGGGGCAAGACCAAGAACCTGCATCTCTTACTAGTTCCTGGGCAATGCCATTGCTGTTTCCATGATCACACTCTGCCACTGCCTCATGTTTCCACAGCTACCACTCTGAAAATGCCACCACACCCACCTGGAATGCCAGCTCCTCGGTATTTCTACTCACGTCGTGTCAGAACCCCAGGAGGGACCAGGGGCAGCCCGGTTACCTTCTCTTCCCCTGCTCCCAGCTTCTTCCGCCCAGATTGACAAGGAGGGGACAAAGGAGAGCTCAGACAGTCCACTGGGGAAGGAGGAGGCTAGAGGACATTGCCAGACCTTGGGTGACCTTTTCCTTTTTGCTCCCACACCACCAGAGGGGAGCACAGAGGCACAGACCCTAGCCAGCTCTCCTGCTCTTCCTTTACCAAAGCAGATGCTCCTCTTGGGGACCCCGAGGAGAGGCAGGATTCAGTGTTCCTGAGTCCCCTCGCTAAATGACCGAATGAATGTCATCTTACTAGCAGTCCAGTCCGACTCCTGACATCTGTCTGCAAATATGAGCCATTTGATGAAGGCTTTCCCACCTGTACTTCTGAAGGAGGTACCTTTTCTATTCTGTATGTAAGTCTTTTTCAATCCATCTGCTCCATGCCTTACTCCCTTCTGGAATTTACACAGAAAGTACTCATTAAATATTTACTGAATTTAATTGGAACATACAGGTCAAAGAGTGGCCACTGTAGGTGTACCGTTACTAAAGTCAGCATCATAGAAATTACGTATCAACAGCCCTTCATATTTGCAAAACTTGCTTCCATTAACACAGTCTCCCTAAAAATGCACTTCAGAAGAAAAATCAATCCGCCATGGACAAGAAGAGCTTTCATAATACTTCTAAAAATGTCTAAACATTCTAGCTATTGTTTCCAGGAAGATATTTGTGATTAAATGCATTTGGCCCCCTAAAAATTTTTCATAATAAAAGTAAAATTAACCTTGGAAAATAACACAGAAATTAAATTGCTTTTCTTGAAGATTTCTTTCTTCAAAGCATGACTCCTACTTAGTCACATTACTAAAGGAAAATATCATGCTATGATAAAGGGACCAAAGGACGGTAACTCACCTTAGAACTAGTTGTAACATCACATCTTCACAATGTAAACCGATGAGAGTTCTGAATAATGCCAGGGACACCACACAGAGCTGGGAAGCAATAAACACACATTCTATTTCAGATATTGGAAAGAAAGCTCTACTCCCCACAGATGGAAATAAATCAGGATTACAAAATAAAATGGCCTCCTTTTTTTGTTTGTTTGATTTTTTTTAGCAGTTTGATGAAAACATGCTGCTGCCTGGGAGAATGTGTATTAAGGCTATTAGTTCTCCTGTAGGATTTGATTAGAAAGCCTGTGCCTGGAATTATGTCATTACACAGAATTACTCCTACACAATGTCTATGGCTCATATTTCTGACTTTGAAAGAACCAGATAAACATGCCCCTACAGCTCTCCAGTATGTACACGCATGCACACTCACTCACACACACATACACGATCTCTTGCTTGTTATTTGTTTTCCTATTATTTTCAAATATGATACTGTTTATTTACAAGAGTGGGCTAATAGAAAACTGCACATACCCTGGCCAGCTCTCCCTCTAGGCTTCTCAGCCCCAAGCCTCAGCTCCTTCTGGCTTGTCTCTTGGCTTTGGGGCAAACATTCTCCTTGGTTCCATTTCCAGTAGTGCTGATGGTGTGGTAATATACTTGGCCAGGAAGTTCATTAAAAAACAAGAATTCTTTCAATCTCTGATTTCCAAAAAGTAAAGATAAACAGCCAAGGAGGGGAAGATACCCAAAGGTGTATTATGAAACCAGCATGCCCTTTTGGAAGTAAGCATTTATCATTCTGTCAGGCTGCTTAAATAATTCAGGCTCTCATTCTTCATACAGGAGAATAAGTGCTGGTCTTCTAGTCAGGGTAGACTTAAAACCTGCTTGTGAAATCCACAATGGTGTCATAAAGAAACAGCTGCATTTGGCTTGCCCCAAAACATCTCTTGTGCTCAGCACAGGTTACATGCTTGTAGTTAGCCAAAACCTACAAACTCTGTCCCACTCATTCCACAACTTCGCACATGCTGTTCCTTTGCCCAGAATGCCTTTTCCTGCCTAAGCTAAACCCTGCTTATTCTCCAAGACTTACCTTGGTTTCCACCTCCCCTAGGAAATCTGTCTTCTCTTTCTCCCAGTGTTAACACGCATCACCTCCTCCCCCCAGTCTCAGTTAGGTGGCCTGCCTAGACGTTGCCATAGTAACCCCTGCACATCAACGTCAAGAGTGCTCAGCCCAGTGTCTTGGTCTTTTCATTATTGAGTTGTAGGAGTTCTTTATTCTACATACAAGTACCTTATCAGATATTTGATTTGCAAAAATTTCTTCCCATTTTGTGGGTTATCTCTTCAATTTCTTAATGGTGTCCTTCAAAGCACAGAAGTTTTTACTTGTTTATAGGTCTCCAATTTCAGATTCTTGAATCAACTGCAGAAGTTGTATCTTTCTAGAATTTGTCTATTTTATCTGAGTTATTCAATATTTTGACACATAGTATTCCCTTATAATCCTTTCTATTTCTGTAAGGTAGGTAATAATATCCCCTCTTTCATTCCTGACTTTAGTAGTTTGAGTCTTCTTACTTTTTTCTTAGTCAATCTAGCTAAAGGTTTGTCAGTTATCTCAGTCTTTTCAATGAACTTTTAGCCTCATTGATTTTCTCTATTGTTTTCCTATTCTCTATTTTGTTGATCTCAGTTCTAATCCTTACCATTTCCTTCCTTCTGCTTGGTTTGAGTTTGTCTCCTTTTCCCAGTGCCTTGAAGTGGGAGTTTAGGTTATTGACTTGAAATCTTTCTTCTTTTTTAATGTAAGTATATGTATATATACATACATATATCCTACATTTTTTCCCTCTATGTATTTCCCTCTAAGCAGTGCTACAGAACTGTCACTGCTTCCTATAAGTTTTGGTATGTTGTGCCTTCATTTTCATGTATCTCAAAGTATATTCTCATTTCCCTCGTGACTTCTTCTTTGACCAATTGGTTATTTAGGAGTATCATTTAATTTCCATTTATTTTTGTATTTTATTTCTGTCAATAATTTTTCATTCTAATCCACCATGGTCAGAAAAATACTTTGTATGATTTCAGTCCTTTTAAACTCATTTATGCTTGTTTGATGGCTTAGCATAAGGCCTATGTTGGAGAATACCCCGCGCATACTTGAAGAGAATGTGTATTAGCTGTTAAGTAGAATGTTCTGTAGATATCTGTTAGGTCTAGTTGGTTTATAATGTCATTCAAACCTTCTTTTCCCTTAATGATCTTCTGCCTAGTTGTTCTATCCATTATGGAAAGTAAAGTATTGTAACATCCAACAATTATTGTTGACTTTTCTATTGCCCCCTTAAATACCATCAGTTTTTGCTTCCTGCATTTTGAAGCTGTTTTTACATGCATATATTAACTAACTATTCTATCATCCTGATGGGTTGACTCTTTATCATACAATATCCCTCCTTCTCTCTAGTAACATGTCTTCTTTTAAAGTCTATTTTGTTGATGATTACCACAGCCATTCCAACTTGTTTTGTTTGCTGTTTCCATGACATATCTTTTTACATCCTTTAACATTCAGTCTATTGGTATCTACAGTATATCTCCGTAGATAACATATAATTTGATCTTGTTTTATCCAATCTGCCAATCTCTAACTTTTGACTGATTTCTTAATCTATTCAGATTGATACAGTTGGAATTATGTCTGCCATTTTATTTTTTGTTTTCTATGGGTCTCATATCTTTTTTGTTTCCCTATTCCTCTTTTACTGTCTTCTTTTGCATTAAGTGAATACTTCCCCTAATATAACAGTCTTATTGTTTTAATGATTTTCTTCACTATGTTTTGCAGTTACTTTATTAGAGGTTGCTTTAGGCCTTACCATATATATCTTAGCAGACTCTACTTTTTATTTACACTAAATTAGCTCCAGTGAAATACAGAAATATTATTCCCAAATAGTTCTATTCCTCCTTATCCTCTTTGTGCTATTACTGTAATATGTATCACATCTGTATATGTTACAAACTCAAAAGTATATTGTTATATCATTATTCCTTTGCTTTTAAAACAATCATTGCAATAAAAAAGAGATGGCCTTCAGGGAAGAGTTGTAAAGGGTGACACTAATAGTATAAGAAGATTTTCAAAGTTCATCAGAATGACTACCTGAATTCACAACTGCCCAGCCTTCCACTTCAAAACACTTATGGACAAAAATATAGTCTCTAATATCCAGACTTGATATACTCTGATTTCTTGGCTTCACCTGCACTTAAGCCCATATATTGCACTGCATCTTGCCTTTTCAGAAGTGCATTCTGCTATTTTTTTGGAAAAAAGTGCCAACCCAAATTGTGAAATATGTCCTATGAAAAGCAGTAAGTGGCACCTCTCTGACAGAATGACTTCTGAATGCAAAACACATTATCTAGTTCATCTCTTCCAAAATAAAAAGGTGATGGCTACAAGAAAAAAAACAAAGGAACAAGAGAAAAGACTATACATAATTTATTCCAAAACATACCATCCTGAAATTTGTTTGAGTTATAAATTCCCTTCTTCTGAGGTTCTCCTTACCCGAAATGGTGTGTTGATTCGGCTTGTGAGAGTATCTAAGATGTGGACATTCTCGTGCTGGTGCAACAGGATAAAACGGAGAAAGATCTCAAGTAATGCTGGCTCAGAGATGCTACGCAGGAAAAGGTCCAGATATGCAGTTGTGGTCATGACCTCCTCCACAGTCACCTGGGACCAACGACAGAGGGAGCACAGATAAGCATCCTCTCGATGCTGTGACACATGCTTCCCCGACGGCCCCTGGCCTCCCCACAGTGACCCCATCAAGGCAAGAACACGCCTGCCACAAGAACACACTTCAGAGCTTCATCTGAAGCCTATAACCTATTCACATTCCACAATACCTCATGCTGCTTCCGTCCTTTAATTCAAGAAGGGAAACGCAAAGACATAAAGAAGCAATTCAAGTGTTCTGACAGCTCTAATCATCAAATGCAGTTCAAACACCATAAAGATTTTAGAGTGTAATCACAAAGGGGAAAAAATGCTAATGGAAAGTATTTACATGGTCAGTAAAGGACTAATTAGAAAGCTCAGTATAACTTGTTATATTAGCCATTCAATAAATATTTATTGGGACCTGTTATGTACAAGGAGCTGGAAACATGCAAACATATTGGCTGTCCAGGGAGATGGGTTATATGTGTGATCTAACAGGTGAAAGAAGAATACCATAAAGGCGTATGAGAGGTACGGACAAGAAGTGCCGTGGATGTTCAGGTATGTTTCTGAAGAGTTGCAAGTCCAATTTTTATAAGTGAATAATTGTACATGAAGTGTTATTTATAAAGTACTATAAGAGTTTACTGCTTATAAAGTAAATGACTTTCTTTTTATAATATAAATTAGTAGTTTCTAAATGGTGTGATTTTTTCCATGCAGTAAAATGTCAATCTTTCGGGGAACAGAAAACTCTGAAGAGTCAAAATTTGTAAGGAGCTGGGGATTTTATGCTAAAAGCATCAAAAAAATTTTTTTTATTTTGGTATCCTTAATCTACAATTACAGAAAGAACATTATGTTTACTAGGCTCCCCCCTTCACCAAGTCCCCCCCACATACCCCTTCACAGTCACTATCCACCTGCGTAGTAAGATGCTATAAAATCACTACTTGTCTTCTCTGTGTTGTGCAGCCCTCCCCGTGCCCCCTACGCACTATACATGCTAATCGTAACACCCTCTTTCTAAAAGCATCAAAATTTTAATTTTAAATATTTTGATATGGAATATTTCAAGAACAAGTATACATTTCTTCATCTTCCGAAAAGCAGAATATAAGATCTTTTGATGAATAGGGGTCATCAATCGCCTTATTGTCTGTATTACAGAAATACTCAAACTGGGATGTATGAAAATCACCAGGGGAACACTTAAAATTTCAAATTCTAACACTATATCCTAGAAATCTGCCCTGCCATAGTCTAATGCACTTGGTGCTAAGTGAGAGAGAGGGAGATACTCTGAGTGATTACCTCTTCTCTGTCCCAGCTTTCTACTTCTTTCTTCCTCCCTTTAAAAGTGTTAATGTCACTTTATCAGGCTGTTACTGGGTCATTCCTTTTATCATACTTTCCTCTCCTTGTAATTTTCTGCTTTCAAAATCCACAAATCTGTTTAGAAACCAGACCTCCAAGTCTGCCTTCCAAGTGTAGCTAGGCCCTCTGTGGATGCATCTGTACATAAAGGCTTTAATTACTTCTATAAGTGTTCTTGGTCCTTAGGCATGTTCTAGATAGATGAGTCTATTACCAAATCAATTTTTGTCTGCTTTCTCTACTCTGAGTTAAGCATGCCTGTACAGTGCATCTGAATCTACCCCCCCAGAATCTACTGACAACTCAGCCAACGGGGCCCTGAGCAGCCTAAGACCAGAGTGCAAACTGGCTCTGCACCAATGCTGTGGGCCCTCAAAGCACTCAACACACCACTGTGTCATCTAAGCAACCTTAAAGGGTTCCCTGAGGCCTAAATAGAGCAAAGGAAACCAGTAAGCACCAACCACTCAGCAAATAAATTATCTTGAGAAGAGTGCTTCTCATTGGCTGTCCCTGCTTCCAAAACAAACCGCTTCTACCCTTGTGTTCTCTGGTGTGGATAAAATAAGAGTTTCTGTGGCCAGGATTCTCACCTGGCCATGGTTGAATAGCTCACTGCACACCTGTGGGCAATACATGGCTGTTGACTCTATAAAAAGAGCTCTGCCCAGTGCTCTGGGCACGACATGGTGGCAGGGCTATAAGGCTGCAGGAGAGCAGAGCAGAGGCTGGAGTGGTGGCAGCACCGAGGACAGAGGCCCAGAGGATGGCTGTGCAGGATGACTGTGCAGAGAGGCCCAGAGGACGGCTGTGCAGACAGAGGGGCCCAGAAGCAGAGACTGGCTTGCTGCATGCAGACTTGCTCTGAGTGAATGGGATTCTAGTGACTGACCTGCACCTGGAAATAAAGTTGGGTATAACCCTTTTGCCCCAAAGAACGTTTTGCTGTCAATTTCTTTGGTCACACTGAATCTATAGCGAACTTGCCTGGGGCTGAAACCCATTGGCAAGGCATCTGATGTTCTCCAGCCCAAGCTTGTGGCACTCTTAACACTGTCCTGGGACATACATACACTGTGTCATTTTCTTTATTACTGCAGTGCAACGAACAGAGTCTGACACATAAAAGTTTCTTAATAAAACATTTTCTGAATAAATGACAGCCCCCAAGGACCTAGGGATTTACATTTGGTAGAGTTGAACTTAATTTTCAATTCTTCCCTCTTGTCTCCCTGTGTTCTGAAGGCCTCAGAGAGAGTGAGGACATTTTTTATAAAGGCCTATAAAATAACTGATATCACCAAGTACAGCTAAGTGGGAAATGATTCATAACACTACCAAACATGTGGTCCCATTAGCTCACACCCATTTCACTACTGCAATCTCAGGGTCCTTTAGCAGAAACATAATCCAAAATCAAATCAGCAAAAGTCTGATTTCCTAGCAGTCTTGCTTGCTAGAAAAAGTAGCATTACTCATTTCAAATGGGCCATGCACACAGCTTCTGAATACCAGTTTCAACTCCACTACTGAGCACCGTGGAGCTTCCATGTCAAGCAGAATCCCAGGAGCTGCCTTTGCACCAATAATGCAGCATCAGCTTTTCCCCCCTTAAGTTACACATGACCTTAATGATGTCAGCAGCACAACAATAAACTCTTTAGAATATAAGTCTCAGCCTTTGGGGGCTGACATGAAAGGAGGGCATTAAACATCTATTGTTTATCACCCTTAGTAAGGATAAATGAAAATATTTTTTTTTCTTATTAGAAATCAAAACTGTCATTTGTAAGCTAAGAGGATTTAAGAAAGCACCTGGAGGGGCAGCATTTACATGAAGTGTTATAAATATTAAAAGTTGCAAATTCTTTGGAAATCGTGGTCACACTCACCTTGATCTATTACCCAAAAAAAGGAAGATATGGTTTCCTTCTTTTTCCATTTCTTCCCTCTCCCATATTCTAGAAAGCTGGGACAGAGAAGAGGTAATCTCAGAAAGACTCCCCCAAATCTTCCCCTGTTCCATTATCTTACTTTTCAGAATCTTCTAATCCTCCAAATAGGTAACCTCATTAACGAGGATGAGACTGAAGCCCATGTGTGATCACTTAAAAGCTAACAATGAACCACCAGGGGAAAGTGGCTCTGCTTTGCAGAATGTAAAAGTGAAGCTTCTCCTAATGCCCCAGGAGAGGGAGTATCAGTGAAACAGCGGAGCAGCACCCTCTTCATGTTACGAGCAATAATGAGTCGTTGATGTCAGTAAGACCTCTTGCCTTACAGATGACTGTCAATATTTACTTCACTTGTTCTATGCAGAGCTGCACGTAGCTACAAATTTACATAGAGGTAATAGTACAAATAGTAAATTAGGTTCTACCTTACTACCATGACTGCAGTGACCCAAGGAAAAACCTGTTTCCACAAATAATCCTTGAACCTAAACAATTCACCTGCTTAGGAGCTCTTATATGCTTACATGTCAGCCCATTTCTGGAATGCAGCCCTAACTCAGGTACTTAATTTTTACTTATATCAAATCCAATTTGGGCTACCCTTTGAAATAAATCTCTTTCTTCACCCACCTTCTCCATCCTCCACCAGCCTTTACCCAAGTTCTCCTTCATGCCAAGCACCCTTCACCAATTCCACACACTGGTGATTTTCAAACTATAGTGAGAGACCCAAAAGTGGGAATTGAAATCAGTTTACTGGTTCACTAATGGTTTTTCCCAGATCCAAACAGAAAATTCTAGAGAACACTGCATGTAGTAAGGGTGAGTACTGTTCTGTGCAACTTCTGAATGAACATTATATTCAAAGTATATGCAATACTATATATGTGCAGGTGCCTTATTATATATATCCAGTAAATGTACACACACAGACACAAATGTATAAGGTACATGTCTGGCTACACATACAGTGAACACCATCTGAAGACCACAAAAGCGGGAACACGAATACGAAGCCAACGCACAGGCCTCTCCGCTGGCCCCTCACCCACCAGTCCCCATACTTCAGGCCCCGCGCAGCGTGATCTCAGTCTGAAGAAGGGTGTGCATAGTTGAGATCAGTTCTCTGAACAGGATGGCAACTGAATTTGCATGTACTCCTTTTTTACCTTAGCCTAAGAGCTCCAACAGAGCATTTTTATTTTTATATTTTATTAAAATGTTCTCAGAAATGGGCAAAACAGAGAGTCTGTTTTCTTTAAAGAGGGGTGGGGTGGGGAAGTAGAAGCCGACATCGTGAGTCACATTCCACACTCTCAAAGATGAAGGCCGGAACCCAGCCCGGCCACCATGCCCACAATCAGCACGGTGCCTTCCCCTAATGTGTTGTACAGGAGTGAAATTGAGCATATACATGTTCTGACCTTTCTGTAATCAGCTCTAGTTGGGCAATTCCATTTGCATCTAAATTAGCATGAGAATCCTCCCTGTAATAGCAGGTGTATGTGTGTACTGAAAAACAAATTTCCCACCAGCTAATCGTTTTTTTTGTGATCCAGTCGCACTGGAACAAACAGATGGGTTCTACCTTCTGTCGCTCAGGCAGGTGGCAGGCAGGGGGGTCAGGTGACTTGTACCCTCGCCAAGTTAGAAGCCACCCTTCCTTGGCTTTTCCTTGGATACAGAGCTAGCCAATGGTTCATATGGGTCACGTGAGAGGCCTCGGCCCCCAGCGGCTCCAACTGGAGAGGAAGGACACAAGGAGACCCACGTGGGCCCTGCTCGCTGAAAGCAAAAGCGGGACAGGAAACAGGCATGACGGAGGGAGGGTACAGGTCCGCAGGGCTCTTCACAGAGGGCCCAGGCTAAGCCCCTGCTCACTGCTGCCCGACGGACAAGCTAAGGGACAGGCAGGGTGCATGCCCACCGGGGTGCATTCAAGGGCAGCACAGGACATGCTCTTCCCAGCCAGCTTCCTCCCTCCCAGGACACGGTGCAAGGGGAAGGCAGTCACCTGCTTCTCAGCGAGCAGTCCCACTGTTTCAGCCAAAAATTCAGGACAGAAACGTTCAATTATTCTAAGTCCGCAAAGAGTCTGCAGTTGGTGAATGAGGGTCCCTCCCTCCTCACCCCCTTCCTGCCTCCCTCCTGCTCCTCAACCTCTAGGCCACACACTTCACTGCCGCCGCCACCAGAGGCAGGCTGGGGAGGTAAATGCAGACGTCATCCAAAGTCAGTTTGGCAATTTATTCCTAAAATATATGAGGGAGGAGGAAATTAAAATGCTGGCTACAATGACTTCAGCATATTTAAAGGAAAAGATGTTAAAAATAAATCCAGTCTCTGCCCTTTTCCCCCAGCATTTCTTTAATGTATCTGTAATACATTAAATATAATAATTAAATCAATTAAATATTAATTAAATATAATAAATGTCCTCTTGCCTTTCATAAACCTCTCCCTGGAGGAATCAGCAAATTATTTCTAAAGCCTCCTTTCCTTCACTCTGTGTATATAGTTTGTAGCCTACTACTTCATTATAATAGAACTTAACAGTGTAATTCGGTGTATGATGCATTATATTTGAACCTCATGCAACAGAACTTAGTTATTGAAATACTCCAAATGTCACATAAGAAAGGTGTTTTATACTATAAAATAGTATATAATAGATCAGAATTAACAGGGAAACCGAAGTGTTTAGCCTCGAAGCAAAAATCTGATGAATATTCCAAAGATGACTTGACCCATCCCTTTCCTGTTTAGAATTGTTCCACAATGATTCTTCTAAGTTGCAATATGAAGAACCAGAAAAACAACAGTAACACTGATCCGTTCTTGAGCACCTACTGGGTAATTAAGGACTGTTCTCAGCATACCGTTTCGGCTCTTGGACTCCACACAATCGTATGAGAACTGACACACCCTAAGCAGAACAGATCCGTGTTGAAAGCACCCTGGAGTAAGCTAACACAATCGCTGCGAGACAAAAGAAGCTGGCTGAGTCAGGAGCGGAGGGCTGATGCTGGGCAGCCAGAACACAAACACCCATGCCCCCTTCCTTCTTCTGAGCTCAGACAGGGACTGCCCGGCTTCCTTCAGCAACGCCGCTCACTGGGTCTTCCCAACAAGAACGCATTCCTCCTGGCAGAGGGAGAGTCCGCCTGTATAAGGTAAAGCGTGCCTTACCCTGCCCTCACGTTAAGAAGTGGTCATGCAGAAATGTTGTCCTGCAAAACTCAGCTTTCTTTTCTATTTTGGAATTCTTATTAGACCCCCTCAGTTTCCTCTGTTCTAGGCTAAGTCGATTTCCTTTCTTACGGCACGTATCCATCCTTTAAGATTGCAAACTTACGGCAGAAATGACTGGGTCTGACCCACAGTGGGGCTTTCCAAAGCACCTGGTACACGGGCAGGTACTCAGAGGGCAATCCATAAACATGTCAGGGTGGAAATCAGCAGTCCTGTTACTAATAAAAACGTGGTTTTCAAAGCCCATGTTCGGGTAACTTCATTAGCAGGGCAGGTAGGTTAATTTGACAATACATGAACAGCAGAGGAAATTTTCCTTTTATAATAAGTAACATTTCATTGACAATACAGAGCCTAAACTCACGCTATGCTCTTGAATTACAGCAACCTAGGAAAGTGACCCATTGGGAAAAAATAAATGCTTTCTCAGGCTTCCTTCCCCATGGTTTCTCTTCTTGATTAGTAAGACAGAACTACTGAATTCTGATGAGACTGACTTTAAACCCAACAGTAGTGGAGAAATGGTTCATGGGCCAGAGTCCCAACTGGCAGCTTCTTTAGAATTAAGTATTTGAGAACAAATTGAGAAGATGCATCTAATGCCTGCCACCACCACATTCAATCTGCCTGCTGAGTTAAATGTATTACTTAGGGGTGGAACTGTTTATGCACAGCAATTTTCCTAGACACCAGAATTGTAACAAAGGCAATCTTTGATGAAGAGACAGATTTTATTCCTGGTTTATTTTCCATGAGTGATGGAAAGGCCTCCCCACAGTGGAAGACTGAGAACACACATAGGTGTCTGCCCAAATTCAATAATTCTAGTCTTTCTGGTAGTTTCTCTGTTACCCCAACCTGCTCATCATCTGGCACTGGATAATCACAGGGGGAAGATGCAGAGGACAGCTTGTCAGAGTTATTCTATCTCACCAGGCACGCAAGTCAGACATAAAAATAAGGGGCAAGCAAGACCTTAAAAAAAAATAAGTTTGGGGCAAAAGAAAATTGTAAGGTAAAATAAGCAGACTATAAACTTCCTTTCTGTTTTCTTTGCCTTTTTAGTTTTCTTAGGACTACTTGAAGAAAAACCTGCAGGGCATTCGTTGCTGATAAATTTTTAATGTTCTATTAGCAGAGTGCAGGGCAATAATAAAAGACTCGTACCAACTTTCAGACCAGATTCTCCCCTCTCCACATTGGTTTCCAAGGCAAATACCACCTGGCTGCCTTAGATAAGGTGGGGTTTTGTGTGAGTTATTTTTGGTATTTCTGGAGGTGAGGGGGTGCCCTTCCTATCTTTTCACAATTCTGATGCTTAAGAACCGAGTCCTTTGGTACAGCATTATCTCCCTCATGCACTTGTTGAAATTAAAAGGAAAGAAAGAAAGAAGTCTAATTTTCCATTTCAAATCAAAAGTAAATGTAAGCTTAATTTATAACCCTAGTTTTCCTCTCCTATACTGGGAGAGAGGGGACATGAAGTACTACAGAGAGGTCAGCACCTCAGACCGGTTCGGACTAAAACATTTACTGTGTGTGCGTGTTAAGACAATGAATACAGTTTTGTCTCCCAACTTCTACAATTGGTAGCAGTAAAACTAGGTGAGAAGAGCTGTACTAAGAGAAGGAGCAGAACCAGGTATGTCGAGGGGCAAATGTTTAAGGTACCTCTAGGCCAGCTGGGACCCAGCCTCTGAGCCACAAGCTACCCACATAGACAAGACTGCAAATTATAGAAGAGTACCCCTGAGCAGAGTGGCCCCTCCAGGCCTACAGTTTGGTAAGTAGATGGCTTGGCTGGGGCTGAAAGTACCTTCTGCAATTAAAGTCACTGCCTCCTGGGGGTGGACACAGCCCCATGCAAGGGGACACAATCTGGCAAGCAGAAGGTAAGCATCTCCTGTCTGTCTCTTCAGCAGGGCATCCCTGTGCAGTGGACAACCTGCATAGCCCTCTACCTGACTATCCTGTGCTTTTCCAGTAATTATAATGACCAAAACATCAACAGAAATAAAAGTTTGTGAACATGTAAGAAACTTTGCAGTTTGTGATGGGCACTTCTCACTGCCTAATATTCAGTCTCCCTTTCCTGCCTGAGAATAAGCCCGAACTTGAGAGCTGAAAACTACATTTCCCTTCCTCTTTTGCATCTGCGGTAGCTGTATATGCGCTGGACAGTGAGGTGTAAACAGAATTGGTGTATGGACTAGGAAAGGATTTTTGGAGGGAGTTTTCTGTCACTTTAAGGGGGTTTTCTGTTATCTACAGTAAACCTTGTGCAAACTGAAACAGTGTTTTCCCTGAAAATAAGATGATCTGCTTTGTAAGTAAGCTGCTATAGAGAGCTCATCCCCATCATTTAGTACAGTGCCTCACATATACTGGGTGCTCAAAATATATTTGTTGAGTGAATAATTTGATAAATAAATGGTTTATACCAAGAGAAAACCAAGTAACCTTTGCAGCCCAGAAAAAACCAGAAATGTAGTGTCAAAAGTAATCTCATAACTCATTTTCCAATCCTCAAAACATGAGAACAGTGTATTTCTCAATTTTTTTAACCATGGCCCATCATAAAAATTATATTTTACAATAATATGTAATATTTACCATTGTTAAGCACAGTGCACTCTGATATTTTGTTTTTAAGTGCTAATTGTGACCTACCAAACTGACTCATTAATGTGACAAGAGTCACTTTTTGAAAACTGTGTTTAGAACAGTTAACTGAGCTTACATTAAGTTAACTTTTCTATTAACTAGTAGGCAAATAAGAGCCAACACTAAGGCTTAATTTTTTAATTAAAACTCTAAAATATTTTAAATTTAGTGGAAAGAAACAGTGGTAGAAATAAAAATTATGCTTATTTTGTTTGACATTTTTATACGATAGTTAAGTATCATCACTTAATGTCTTGGGGTTTCTACAGCATAAAAACAAGATACTGAATGTGCACTGGGGAAGTGTGCCTGGGACTCGGGGGGTTGGGGGGGGCCTGCGGGCCAGCGAGGGGACCTGTCCTCCTGATCAGCCCCGCCTTCTGCTCCTCACGGGCCAGGGACGGCGTCCGCCCTCGGCGCTTGTCAGGCCGGGCTGTGAGTACGCGTGTTGGCTGTTCTGTCTCTGCGGAGAAGGGAATTGAACATGTGCTTCCTTTCTCAGCTGGTATTCTCAGTCTAGAGATAATGATTTAAGGAAGAGGACGGTATCCCAGGGAGTAGAAAATGGACTGCGGCGGGAATATTAAACACTAGCATTCTAATCCTTATTATCTGGTGACCTTGGGCAAATCAAGTAATCTTTTGGCGTCTCAACTCCTGCAGCTGTTAAAACAAGCCTGGTGCCTCTGACCTGCTATGTAATCTAGCCCAGCAAATTTCTGCGTATCAGTGAAGGTCAACGATGAGATGTGGGGGAGGCTTCCACGCCAAGTGCCCTCCCCCACAGATTTCCGAGAGGGCGTAAAGAAGTGAGGCTCTACAGCAGGTGGAAAAGCACTCTGGGACACTTAGAGGACTCCCTGATGCAAATAGAAAGCCACCCATAAACCCTTGGCGGGTATCTAATGTGAAAGAAGTGAAAAATCATCTCTTTCATATCCTTTATTCCTCTCACAAATATGAGCTCACAGGCTGAATACTTTTCAAACCATAAGCCTTAATGTTCACAGCTGTAAAATGATGGTGTTAAACCAGACAACCTCTCCTCTCAGTTCCAAAAATCTGAGATTCTTTGATTCCATGTCAGTGACATGAAACATGAGCTAACTTCAGTTCTTTGCCCTGTAATTTTATCTTCCAGCCTAACAACACGTAACTATTCTAATGTGATAAGGATGCTAGCCACTTTCTTTTGATACATTTTCTTAACTGTTAAATTGAATATTTAATTGAGTGTTTTTCATGTGTACAATATACTAGCAGCTTAGGATACGTGAGAGTGAGAAAGATCCTGTCCCTCGGGGTCCTTACAGCAGTCGGCCTAAAATTCGCATGATGAAACCAGTGCTGACCTGCCAGGTCCCCAGCAAAAGCTCGGCAGCAGCTGAGAGATGACAGACATCAGTGTATGCGTAAGTGCAGGGCTAGCCCAATGTGGCAAAGGTTCCAGGACTTGCCAGATTAATATGTTTTGGACAAACAGCCAGGAAGTAGGAAGAATAATCCAGCAGGAACATGGTAATACGAGCGCAGAGGCTAGGAGGGCACTGCTCTGACTCAGATTCGCACCTGAAAATCAGGGAGGAAGGAAGGTTAATGCGTGGGCTGGAGCCAGACGGGGGTGGCTTTCAAAGACAAGTAAAGGAGTCTAATTATTTTCTGCAGGTAGCAGGGACCCATCATAGGTTCTTGAACACAGGAATCACATTTAAATCACCCCCATTTGTTTTTTTTTAATATATAATTACTGCCCCAAATTTGTTAGGCTTTAGAAAGGTTGGTTTTTTTTAGATCTGAGAGAGAATGATGAAGTTTCTGATCCTAATGTCTCCTCCCATATGCAGGATTGCCCTCAATAACTCTTCCCTGGGGAAGAGCCTGTCCCTCCCCACTTCCTTCTGGGAGCCAGGCTGCCAACAGGAACTGCACGTGCTTCTCTGCTCCTCCCACCGCAGGCTCTGTGGTGCGTCTGGGTGAGTCTATCTAATTCTGGAGCTCAGTATGAGGAAATCTTACCCACAGGTAGAAACCCTATTCTCCACCGTCAGCTTCATTGATGATAAAGGTGCTACTTTGGTCTTCCATCAGCTTCACTCATTTTCCATATTCCTCAGCTTGTCAGATCTCAGATATCTCTAAACCTCTCTTGGTCTACACTGACTTTCTGAAACTCTCTTGGTCTACACTGACTTTCTGAAACTCTCTTGGTTTACACTGACTTTCTCAAACTGCATCCCAGCTCCCTCAGCTATGCAACTTCAGTCTACATCAATTCATGGCTACAGTGATTCATGGTACAGTGGCTGCTATACTAGGGCCTCACTGCCCTCCAGTCAACGCCCACTGCGGCAACCTGTATTTTCAAAGCCCACACCACCCCCAGCACCAGCTATGAGTTAAACCAAAGTACTCCCCACAAATTACATTTGCCCTTCTTCCCACTAACGCCCCTTCCATACTTTTTAAATAAAAGTCTATATTCTCTGCCCTCTAAGTAAACAAGCAGTCTGAACACGAATGATCAGTGAAATTAACTCTTTTAGGGAGCAACAACATTTTAAGGGATTAATATACAATGAGACAAAATTCTAACATGTTGATAACGTAAGGATGAAAATTCTGAGCCCACCTTTCCCAGCTGGGACCTCTGTTGGCACCCCTTTACCATCCCTGCCCTCAGCCCACCAGAAGGACAACTAGACACACAGGCAGCAATGCTACTTCTCTCTCAGGCACCATTTCCAAAGGAAGAGAAAAAAGCCAGGTGTTATTATCATTACCATTAATTATTACTAGTGTTAATAGTGGCTCCTGAAATAGCTACTGAGAGCCCCAGCTCTTTGCCAAGCACTGTAGTAGATGCTTCACATATATTATCTGAGTTAATTCACCTTGGCCCTGTAGGGTAGGTAGCAGGGTTCTCATCTTCCAGATAAGTAATTAGGGGCTCAAAAACTTGCCCCCAAATCACACAAATGGCAGACACCACATCCATCAGAGACCAGATCTCCATGATATCACATTTCATGTTCTTTATACTATTCTAGGGGAAGCCAAGGCAGGAATTCTAGCAATTCCTTGTCATTCTCATCCCCTGCCTTCTGAGAACAACAGGAACACTTTGAAATTGAATAGTTGTATCAACTATGTGGACTGATTACAGCCAAAGACACGGTCTCCCAATATAAGAATTCAAGTTATAGCATCAGGAGGATTCATCCCCATCCCTGCCCCTTTACCACCCCATCCCTTCCTCCAACCAGTTCAGCTACATTTCTCAGAAAGAGGCTGCTCGCAGTGACAGATCAGGACTTTACTCCGGAAATGGCTTCTCCAAAGAACTCACTGAGCACCTTCCTACGGGAAACCACAGAAAGTGGTGAAATTCATCTGAAAATCAACAACAGAAAAAAATGTTCTTAAAACTAACAAGAGAAAAAGTAGATTTAATGTGAGATACCCACTTCCCTACTATCACTGGGACAAGTGCCAACACTATAGAATCGATACCCTGAGACGAAGACAATGAGAATAATACATTAAACTGCCACTCACAAAAGCATTAACTCTGGCCCTCACTGCTCTGGCTATCCCTGAGAGTCCCCCGTTCCTCAGAGCTGGGTCACCCGACAAGACTGACCCCACCAGCACCAACTAGAGACGTAAAAATGGACTCATTTAGACACGAGGACAACCTCATTACTCCAATCACAACACAGTACACGTATGGCCCGAAGGAGAATACTGGTCTTCAAACGCTGATCGCCAATGCTCAAACTTGATTTGGAATCCAGTGATTCACAACACGCTTCCAAGGGTTGCATTCAAGGGTTCTCAACCCTGGCTCCATGTCAGAATCACCCGGGGAGCATTTAAAACTACCCATACCCTGCCTGGATCCAGGTAAATCAGATCCTTTAGGAGCAGAGCAAGGCTTCCTGTGTTGATTCCCATGCGCACCAGGATGAGAGCCACTCTCACAAGGGACGCCTCCAGTACACAGGTGCTAAGGTGCCATTTAAGATATTTCTGCAGATGGAGTAAAAAAAGTAAAACAAAACACTGGTTTTTGCTGAGCAGTACTCTTAAGTATAAAGATGCCCAATCACATTTTTTCCAAAGAGAAGTCAGGCCTGGGAAGTAAAAAAGCATTTCAGATTACAAGGCAAAGTCGGTGGTGAGATTCCCCGCCCTGTGTTGCCCACTCAGTCATTAAGTCATCCGGTTTGGAAGATACCATCTTCTGCCATCTACAATATGCAATAGGTACTTTTCAGAGCTTCAGAAAAGATTTAAAAGCTCTATTGAAGGAAACAAAGGAGTAATTTGGAAGCTTCCAAAAATTTAATTAATCCAACTGGGTAATAGAATATTTACTGTATGCTGTTGAATAATCGTCCAACTGAATACTAGAGGATTTCCCAGGAATAATATTTAGATCTAAATAATTCCCAACTATTATGGGAAGATCCACTACAGCAGACTTAATGTTTTGAATTAATGAGTAAAAGAATCCAAGCACCGGTTTAAAAAATATGTTGACATATGAACCACATCCTTATCTTCCTTCCCCCATTGAAAAATAATAATAATGGTGAATAACATGCCTGGCTTTAGCGCTGGGAGGAACCAACTAATCCTACAGTCACTCTGGGCTGCTGACCTCACTCTCGCGATATGACAAAGGGTTCCAGATGACCATCTGCAGATTAGTTAAGTAAAAATATGGTTCCTTTCTTCATTTTAAAGTAGGGCCACCAAAAAACTAAACCCGAGAGCGTCTTCTTAGATCCACTAGATGGTGCAAACTCTCCTTTTCGAACAGATTTAACAGGAGGAGAAACTCATGCAGGGCATCAAAAAATTAATACGGGTGCCCCCAGGCAGCTCCTGCACTGCCCAGGAGCTGTGAGAAGAGGGGATTTGCTCTCTGTCTTGCAATTAACAACAACGTAAGGAGCTTTGCTAAATTCTGCGTTAAGAGCTCAGGAGCTAACTTAAGCCATGGGAGGAATTGTGGAACTAAGATTTGCTTCAGGGAAGCAGGTAATAGAAAGAAATGATACTGAAGCCTCAAGACCTGGAGATCTGGGGTCCAAGCTCAGCCAGCAATCAGCTGTGTGAGCCTGAGCAAGTCACTGAACCTCTCTGGTCCTCACCATCTTTATATGAAAAATGAGGAAGTAGTCCTAGACAATCTCTGGAATTCTATCTAGTGCTAAAATTCTATGAGTGCTCTATACTATGGTTCTATCTCCAACTTAATCTCTACATTTAGATTTGGGAAGAACTTCAAACACAAAGGATATGTTTCATGAAGTCCATCCAAAACTGAATTTTATCACTGAAAAATATTCATGGAGTGCTTATTGGGTGTCAGCATTGGGCTAACAACATGCCAGGGAATGAGGACATGGAGACAATGAAGGAATCCCTCAACTTTGCTTCACACGTAAGTGTTCTATGAAATTGAAATTTAATGAATCTCAAAGTTCTGAACTGCTAAATTATGACAGACAGAATGCCATCTTCAAAGATAAAAACTGGCAGCTAAATCTACTGGTTCTATTAAAGCATTTAACACAAATATAAATATCACACATGCTTATCCCACTGGTTGGATGTCTTGATAAATAACCATGGCAATGATATATTATCAATTATTACCCCATAATTGAGGTAAAAAGCCAAAAACAGTAAAGAAATGTTTGCCCACTTCACACAATTTTGTTGCTAGGTGTGGAGAGCACATTTCAAACATGAATCTTAGAGCCATCCCTGGTTTGTCAATAATACTGTTTTGTTCATTTTTCTTCTGCTTCTTTCTGTAAAAATCTTATGTCTTCCTTTATGTTTTTTCATCTTTATTTAAAATATCCGTATCTTCCTTTATATTTTTCCAGCAATATCTGTCTCATATCTGGTCATTTCCCTTTCAGACTTCCACAACAAAGAAGAGTTGTCTTGCATTCAGTAAAAACCACCCCTGGCCAATCCTAAGCAGCACCCCCCAAAGCACCTTTCCTCCCACTCCATGTGACCCCAGGATGCCAGTTGTCAGCCACATACCAGCTCATCGATCTGCCTGGCCCCCCACAGCTCTGACTCATCTCTGCTTAGCTTCCTCCTCTCACTCCCTCACATCCGCTCCATACACACACACCCTGACCTAGTCACCACATCTACATTCACACATTCCCTTATTTTAGAAAACAGCAAAATACCTATTATGTACAAGGTAGTATATGATATGCTGCCATAATATTTGTTCAATGGATGTAATAAACATTATTAATAAACAATGTAATAATACAATAATAATGTAATGAACAATAAAAAATAAACAAACATGTATAGTCTCTACTCTTATGGCATTTACCACGCAGCAGGACAGGTAAGACATATTAAACCCATAGTGATCATACAAGGCAACGATTAAGTGCCATGAGAGTGATACCAACCAAACTCAAGTGGAGAACAGTTGCCTGTGCCTGGCGTGATGAGGAAGACTTGAAGAAGGTGGCCTGTGGTCACACAGAGGCGGAGAAAGATTTGGATTAATATAGTTGGAGGAGAAGCACATCTCAAGTAGAAGGCAGGCATAAGCACTGGCATCAAACCAGAAGTCTAATTCTCACTTGGTGTGCAGCAAATCATCCAAGAAGCTGGAGAAGCGAGTCTGTGGCCAGGGTAGGCTGAGGAGATGGGGTTGGCCCAGGGAAAAATTCAAATAGCTGGGCTCTACCAAGTCCACATCTCTGAGTTATTTCTCCTAGTACCTCGATGTCTACAATTCTCGACATATTTCCTCTTGACAATATGCCAAATTTTATAAATTACAGATCAATGAAAGAGCTGCTCAGCTAACACTATAATTCTCCAACAAGTACATAATAAGAACAAAAAAGTAATAAGAGAGTTAACACATACATAGCACATATTCTGTGTGAGGCAACATTTTAAGGTATCAACTCATTTAATCCTCACAAGTCCTATAAGGTAGGCCCTGTTACTGTCACCCCCATTTTATAAATGAGGAAAATGGCTCAGAGAAGTTAAAGGGTCTTTCCAAGCACACACAGCTAGCAAGTGACAGAGCTGGGCTATCAACCTTGGCAGCTGGACTCTCAAAGTTCACACTACATTAAACCCTTTGCTAAGGACTTACTCACTAGGCTCCACTACCTCTGGGTTTATATCAATGAATAAACTTGCCTTCCTCTTTACCATCTATTTTAAATCTGTTTCCCTGTGCCAGTGTTTTGTTGGTTTGTTGACTTGGCAAAGCTCTGGACACAGCATTACAGAGACAGGGTTGCCCCCAAGATGCCATGAAGCTGGCTTTGGGCCAAGATGATGAATCCTGTAGCCAATTAGTTCATTATTTCTTCTGCGGTGAATATGCAAAAGGAGAGGAAAGATTAGGGTTTCCACTCATGTAACGATACGCCCAGCTCTGGGCGTATGATACCATGTGCCTTACCAACAACCTGGTCCAAATCCACAACATACTCGGAGATACAGTAGATAAGTCAGCTGGACATAGATATTGATAACAAGATCTTCTTTAGGAACAAAATGTGAATGTCCCAATAGATTCTATTATAATCTATTTCCACATTCCCAGAGGCTCTTCACAATAAATACTAGACATTTCATTATGCTCCATACTTGGTCACAAGTGATAGCTCTGGGATAAATAATTGATTCTCTTAGGCTTTTTTTATATACTGATGAAGGGAAAAGTATATTTGTATATGGATGTAAATGTCTGTGTGCATCATCTTTCCACTTAATAACCTAGAATATGGGAAGTCAAAAAAAAGTAATAATGGTTACAGTCAGCCGAAGGAACTCTGCCAATCACATCCTCATTGCATAAGCTCATACAAGGAGCACTTGTTCTCCCTTTTGCCCTCAGCCTCAAGGTGTCAGTCTGGCAGGCGTGGGTCGGCAGCAGAATATTCTCATAATGTTCTGTGATACACATGACATCAGTACGTGGCCAACCTGACAACATATTCCCACTGCCAAGGTGACAACATTTCCATTTGAAAGGAGTTTTCATGGTATTGACATCACTGTCCACATATCTCAATAGCATCACCCAGGAAAACAGAGGTGATTTCCTGGGAATAAATAATGGCACTTGTCCAGCATCCTCAGTGCTGGGAGGAACTTCTCTTGACCACACTAGATGCACAGCAGGGGCAGAAACATGTTCTTAGAACAGATACCTAAGAACCCAATAATCTCCTCCTCACCTTTAGATACTCCTACTACTATTTAATCCTGAAATTGTGCAAAGTATTTTGGCCTGTGTTATCTGCTTTGATGGCTCAAACAGCTCCAGAGGGAGGCAGGGCAGCCCTTACCCCATTTTAATACCTCACTCATTTGGAAAAGGCTTCCTGGCTTCCCAAAGCACTGGGCACGGCCTCTGCGTCTGATGTTCACCACCGCCTGGGGAGGCAGGCAAGGCGAAGACTACACATTGGGTCCTTCACTGGGGTAAGACCCTCGAGGTCACACATAACTCTAGGACCCATGTCTTCTGAATCCTAGTCCAGTGAAAAAGTATAAGCAGCCTTAGGGCCAGCAGAAGGGCACAGAGCCACACGGTCATCCACCCGGGAGTACCTGGGTGCCGGCTAAGTACAAACTCCTGGGCCCCACACCTACCTATTAAATCAGAATCTCTAGTACTCAGGAGTTTCATGTAAAAAGTTCCCAGGTAATTGTCTTTGCACATTTAAGTTTGAGAAACTCTGGCATTGAGAATTAGAATAAAAGGAAAATAATTCTATGCACAACTAAGTTAACATCACATTCTGAAAGAAATAAGGAGAGTTTTGCTCCAAGGTTCTGCTGTCTATGAGATAATAATAAAAATGAGTTAAGGAACAACAAGTATATTATCTAAAATCAAGATACTATAGTGACAAAAATGGTATAAAATTCACTGATCAGCAACATACAGTGTCATGTGAAGGATGTCTCGTTTTAAAGATTCAGGCTGGTTAAGTTAATAGCAAGTCTTTAGTTCTAAGTGCCAGAGACAAGAAGCACTTAAATGCAGTATTTCATTTATTTTTTACATGAACCCAGGAAGGTAGGTATTGTTTCCATGGATAACATAAACACACAGGTAGGTACTTGCCACAATCCCACTGTGAATTAAGTAGCAAAGGACCAAAACTCAAACGAAGGTATTTCTAACCTCAAAACCCACTGGAAATGTTAACCCAGATGACTTATTAATCAAATATAATGCATTAATTCAATATATTAGGTGGCACATACTAACTTTCAGTTTTCAATTAATAAATCAAGTATTTCCAAGTGAAAGCTTCTTGTAACTGTCACTGAAGTCTTCTAGGTCTATTTAATAGTGGGCTCTCGCTGGATAGAGCAATTATTAATTTAGGCTGTCTAGAGCTGGCCTGCTTAATATGATTTTTTCAATACAAGTTTAATAGTGCAGCTGCCGATCCATGTTACACAGCAGCAGGCCCACGACAGGACTAGGGCTTTTAATTACTTTGCTCAACTGCCATTGCTGATGGACTAGTGCACGTCACCTGGGGCCTCTCTGCTTCCACCAAACACTCCTCTTTTTAAGTCCAGGGTAACTGAGGAGGCAGACTGCCTGGGCGCCACCACTGCCACCCCAGCTCCTGGGTCACAGCTGGATCTCCAGCATCGGACAGAGACCACAACAAGCTTTCCTGCTGAGCTCAAGCATCCACAGCACACGGCTTCCTCCGCTGCCCGACGGCCCTGCAAGGAAATCCATGCCTGTCCACCCTGGCACCTGCCGGAGCCTGCTGCAGAGGCTGTGAGACATGGGCAGCAGCTTCCAAGGGGAACGACCTCATTTCCCCAGGAAGTCCTTGAAACCCCTTCACTCTGCACTGCAGTCTGGGGGCCCGCGGGGCTGCACAGGTATGCCTCCAGGGCACTGGAGGACAGAATTGTTTTAAGCAATTGCTTTACTCCAGGCGTGGGAAGAAGCAAAGTTCCATATGATCAAGTATAGCTCAGCATCACTATGGGAGGAGAAATAGGGCAGGACAGCATGCCGGAGCCTTCAGTGATTGGGTCAACAATGTAAAGAACCGGTTTTAAAGAGAAAATTATTGAAATGCAACTTAACTGCTTTTCAATTATTGTTACCCTACTTTAGATTTTAGTGTGGCTCACCCCACAGCTGCACTCTACTTTGGAGCTCCATAACTCAACGGAAACTGTAAAAGATTTAGCAAAGACCCACCAAATTTGAAAAATAAACTCTCAAGTTCCAGGGCCAAGATGGTATCCTAATTCTACATTTTTTTATTTCTTCTTTCTCCCAATGCTCCACTGAAAGGAATGATCTGATCAATGAAATTGTACGGCAGTACTGGAAACCACACATATAATCACGAGGTGTTTCTTCATCAGGAAGTAATGTAGATGATGGCGGGCATGCTAGGCATCCAAAAAGCAACAGGAATCCTGCCAGAACAGCAAGTAGGGGACTATCTCCACCTTCTTGCCACCCAACACCCCCACCACCATCTCCCAGATGAGAAATGTGTGAAAAAGGATGAATGGGAAAATGGAGCTAAGTAAGGGTTTAAGTGACAGGTTGCTCTGCCCCCTCCTCTCTGGAAACTAAAACCAGCAAGAAAAGGGGTCAGTGTAGGCCTCCTGTTAATTCAGCCCCCCATTATAGCTCATTTCCATTTAATAATGGCAATAATTTGAAGACCGCTTTTCATTGCTCTTAAAATCTTCAGTCACTAGTTTCACTGAACATAAAGGTCAAAAACATCCCTAGCTAGTGAGAGCTTGTCTTGCCAATGGGTTTCAGCCCCCAGCAAGTTTACAATGGATTCAGTGTGACCAAAGAAATGACAGTAGAATGTTTCTTTGGGGTGAAAGGGTTTATTACTCGGTTTGTTCTCCCAGCAGTAAGTGGAGCACTAGTGTCTCTACCTCCGCCCAGAGCACTGGGCCGAGCTCTCTATATAGTGCAATGATAGCTCATTGCCTAAAGGTGAGGAAGCGGCAGCCCATCAACAGGCCAGTTACATCATCAGATGGCTTAAGTTCAGCAAGGATCCTGGCCATAGGAACCCCAACTTCCCCATAGACCCTAGCTGGGCTCTGGCGGGGTCCCTGACCATCCCACCCACAGACACACTAATCGCAAGAGAGTGATTCACAAGTGTAGCTGCTCCCAGCTTCTCAGAATTTCCATCTTTTCTTC